TGTAAAATAGGAAGAAAAGGTCCAAAGGGGTAGGGGTAGTGGGAGGGGCAGGGGAAAGGAAAGAAGGGAAAGGAAAAATGATAAGAAATGGAAAAAATGGAAACAAAGTCTTTGTAAATAGGGAAGGGTGGAGGGGATGAAGGGAGAACAGGGAATGGGGAAAAAATAAGAACCAAGATGTATCACGTAAAGGTACAATTCCCAATGAGAAATGTAAATGTGTTGTTTACCTAAAATGTACCAATAAAAGAATTTAAGTATAAAAAATGATAATAGAAAAGTATTTATACTTAAGATTTTTCTGAATACTGTTACCAAGGATAATTAAACGTTAAAATAAATGGTATGAGGATACCTATTGTAGCAATGCTACCTAATTGATAATGTCAAATACTAGACAGACTGGAAACTAATGTTTAGTAAACATTCTATCAAAAAACCCTATTAACTGTCTTGCTCATCTGTCAGAATATACTTGTCACATCTCTAAGGAGGGTGTTGGGCTTGTTTTTTATTTGGTTTATGTCAACTGTCAATCAACTGTTTAGCTCAATATTGGAAATTCTACTATAAGTATTTTATTTTCAAAACAGGGCATGTGATTTTCCATCACAATTTTGATTAAAGTTTGATGTACTCTTGTCCTCTCCACAATCCCCAAAATGATTAACATCTGCTCACAAATTACAGGTGCATTTCTTTATGAAGTGAGGAGCATTCACTTCAATTCTGTGACCCCTAAATTGCAGCAAATGTTACATAGCAAGTCACGCTACTGTTCAAAAAGCTTGGCTTATGGTCTGTGACTGCCTAGATGCTGGCCTATTGGAAAGAAGAGAGAGGGGAGCCTTTGAAATCAACCCCATTCCTGTCGTATCTGTTCATGAAAATATATCGTTTTCTCATAATTGCTGTGTGCCATGTCCTGCTCCTTGGTCCAGGCTTGGGATGGTGGAGCTTGGCCCTGCTTTCCACTTGTTAACAGCCTTTCTCTTGTAAGGCTCTGCGTGTGAGACTTGTGAGTCCATCCTCTCTTTGTCCAGCCTGTTAGCTATTTCTGCTTTCATTTTTTTGAGCTCAGTGTCAAAAGCTGTAAGGACTCTGTCCTTCTGTGAGGCTCAAGTCAATGGACAATGGGATAGTTCAGGATAGGGGTTTTGAGTAAGAGCAATCTAGAATGGAAACCTAGTTGTTCTATTTTTAGTTGCAAGATTCAAAGCAGGTCATCTAAATTTTCTGAGACTCAGTTTCCTCATTCTAAAAATAGAAATAATGACATCTATCTCTCAGGATGTGTTAAAGATTAAATAACAATAAAACTGGCACTGTTTTCCTGTTAGTGTAAGTGATGTTCTTCTCTTTCCCTTCCTCCTTGCCCTCCTTTCTACTTCTCCCCACTGCGCTTCTTCCTTCTCCCCCTTTTTCTTGTTTCTCTTATTCTTCTTTCTTCTCTTCTTTCTTCATATCATATAATCATTTTCCTGGTTATTCCATCCTTGCCTGAATTCATGTAAGTCACATTATATCGTGTTACACAGACTCAAGAGTACATATCTTTACTGTTGCATGGATCAGCTCTTGTTCCCAGGCACATATATAGAGAAAATCTGACCGGCTCTTCCGTGGGTGGACTATGATTTCCACATATAAGGAAATAAATTACTTCTCCTCTTGGTGGTACTGCTCTGAACCCCAGGCCTGTGCTCAGAGCAGCTGTGCTCCTAGGTTAGCCCAGCATGTGGTGACTCACAAGTTTACATGAGCATTAACCTCAGGTCCTCACCCACTGTAGCGTGTTTTTTTTTTTTTTTTTTTTTTGGATACTGGGATCAAAGTCACGGTAGATTTTTGGAGTTCAGACTGCACTTCAGCTAACTTGTGCCTGATGAAAATCTACCTTCCAAGGTGACCCACAGTGGTCTTTTGTCTTTCCTAATTTGAATGACTGAATCACTTGAGGAAACTATTTGACTTTCTTTTGCATCCTACTTCTTGATCTTTAAAAAATATTTTTTATATTTTCTTAAAACTATAGATATCTTGCATGACAGACTTTAACAATTTTGGTTTTTAATGTTTTAAGCAATTTGGTTCTACAAGTAGGGTACCTAAACGTGGTCTGTTCCCTGATTCTGCTTAGGTTTTTAGTAAAATATATATATTTTAAATCATACTTTGATGTGTTTTTCTTTTAGTACATATACACTCTAAAAATTTCTTCCAAAGAAAAAACTATTAACTGTGGGTTGGCTGTTAGAAGGTTTTCAATTTGCTGAAGATGACTATCTTTAATTTATGTGCTATTTGGTGTAAATTTGCATAATGATTCAAGCATACATTCCAGGATAGAATACACAATTAGCCTGACCTGTTGGCATTTTATTTCAAACATAAAATTCAGAGCACGCCCATGTGAAATGTATAATGGATTTCTCAATCCATTAATCACATTCTGGATTATAACACATTTAAACAAACAGAAATAAGGGAAAGGAGTTAACAGAGATCAAGGTGAAGCCTTAGAGGAGAGCCAGGGCAGGACTCATGTGTTGGCTGGAAATAAGTAATTGGTAGTATAATTTCTTCAGGACAGAGAATCACCACCTAATACTATAACTTATCTCCTATTTCTGTACCTGAATTTGTCAAATCTTCATCATCTTCTTGATGGTTCACTTGAGGGTTTTCAGATGATTGCCTTCTTCCCAGGTCCTGGCGTATGTTATATGAATCAAAGTTCACTGGAGAAACAGAACTATTAGAACATGCAGATACATAGAGGAGATCTGGTGCAGGGATGGGTTTATGTGTTATGGAACCTAACTTCAACAATACATTATCTGCAAGCTGAGGAACCTGCAGTGTCCATCAGGCCAGGTCCAAGACCTATAAACTATTCTAGTCTGAGGCTGAGGGTTTGAGAACAGGTTAGGGTCAGGGTTGTCACTGATTTAAATTCTAGAGTCCACAGGCCAGAAAAGCAAGAGCTGAGATACCCAAAAGCAAGACAAGATGGAGGTCTCAGCTGGAGGAGAGAATATCCTCCCCTCCTTTTCTTCTGTCCAGGTCCTCAGTGGATTGGATGCTACCTGCCTGCATTGGCAAGGGTGGATCATGTTTAGGCAGCCCACTGATACATCTTTTTTCCAAACACCCTCACAACCAGAAATAATTTGCTGCCACCTATCTGGGCATCCTTTGGCCAATTACATTGATATGTATAATTAACCACCACAATGTGTATATAAAATCCATAGGTTTAAAATAGTAAAACAGACATGCATGTACCTGTCACTTAGAATAAGACACAGAACAAATGCCTCCCTTCAGTCTTCTACTATACTACTTTACTATACTACTATACTACTTTAGGTGTTTGCTATTTGCTTGACAGTTATATATTTACTATTAGTGTATACATCTCTAAACCAAAGATTGGGTCATTTGGAAAAACTGAGTTGCAAATCTAAACCTCTCTGTGTGAAAAAACCCCAGATGATGCATTCACTTTTGGATGAAGGCTTACAAGAGAGTGGAAATTAACCTCTGGTCATTGTCTAGCTTCAGTGGTCGGAAGGCCTATTGGAAGTTCACAGAGACTTTCACCTATTCTGTGGCCTATCTCATCATTCTCTTAGTGGTTCCCTTTGCTACGCAAAAACTTTTTATTGTGATTTGATCTCATTTATTGATTCTTGCTATTACATCTTGTGCCAATAGAGTTCTCCTTCCCTTCCTCCTTCTTATCCTTTTTCTTCTTATTTTTCTTTTTTGCCTCTACTTCTCTTTCTCCTTCTTTTCCTTCAGATTTTGTGCATTTAATTCTGGTTGTTGGCCACCAGGTAGCAACAGTGCCTTAAATAGCTCATAAATAGGGAATTGTTCCAAACTGACAGAAGATTAAGCCCTGTTCATTCAGCAGGGAAAGGGGTGAATGTCCAGAATCATGAATGTTTAATTTCTCTCTGGGGCTGTGTCCTTATGTTGTATATTGCAAATGCAGGCATATATTTTCAGCTGGAAGTAAGCAGCCTTGTGGTTTGGCCAATCCATTGTTAGTGTGGTATTACACTTCATAGCAGAGCCACAGAGATAAAATGAGATGTAGGCCAGACAGTAAGGGACAACATGGATCCTGAGAAGGAACTTCATGACCACTGCAAACAAGAAGAAATCATAAAGGCCGGTGTAGGGAGCTGGTACTTATGCTTAGGTATGGAAACATCTCCAAATCCTGTAATATTTATACTCTTTATTTTTTTAACCATGAGAAACACATTTATGCCAATCTAGAAAAATCAAATATGTTATGTTAGATTTTTCTTTTTTCCTTCACCCTTAGCCATTCCTCTGGGTATTCTAGTTGTCCGTGGAGACTGTGATTTGGAGACTTGCCGTATGTACATAGACCGCCTACAGGAGGTGAGTTTACTTAGCCCATTGTTTATTTTTCTCTGCTTTCCATTTATATGAACAATTACTAGCCATATGTATATTTCAGGAATGACACAGTTGGGAAGGAAATGGAAATGTGGCAGCCTTGTCCTCAAAGCATACACTGCCTGTCTCCCTCACCTCTGCTTTTCCTTCCTCAGTGGGTGAAATGGGAAAGGATTGTAACTACAGCTTAGAACTTCTGTCTTCTTGCCAGGTTACATACCTTTACTTTTTGAGCTATACAGAATTTCAAACAGTACTGATAAATAATGAAAGAAAACAGACATTTGCAGTTACTTTAAGTTTATACCTGGCACAGATGTCAGTCAGAAACAGCTAGATGTTTTTAAAAATGAAACTTCTATAGGAGAGTCTTTTATATTTCATGAAAATTTGTCAGAACACAAGAGAATAATCCATTGTTTTTTTTTCCTGATCCAATCTTGTCTTGCCATATGAAAATAGAAAGGAAGAGATCCTATATATTACATTCCCATGTATCTAATGTGCACCAGCAAATCTAGGAGACCAAAATTCATCATTAAAATCATCATTGATTGTTTTTGAAATGTTTTGAGGTGGAGAATTTACTGTTGTCATTCTGTAAACAGCAAAACCATAAATAGCTATTTTTTTATTATTATTTCTTTATGAAAGACATTTATGACAGTCACCTTTCTCAGGTGGGGCTGGAACATATTTATCTTCAAACAGTTGGGTGATTCTGATGGATGCCCCTAGATAAGTGGCTTTGCCCCATTATACACAAATAAGTGTAATAAAGTATATATGTAATATTTAAAACTCCTCCAAGTTGTAAGCCACTTGCTTGTGGATATTAGATTTTATTTCTCTTGGTGGAAATAAATTCAGATGGGAAGAATATAGTCATGTAAAAATTATTAATTTTTCTCTTTATCAATGATAAAGGTAGAGGTGGAATTATGAATGCAGAAATTTAGGGAGAGATGAAAAATTTTAAATACTGATGTGGATGAGAGCCGGAGACAACAAATTTTATATTGCTGCTGGTTCATTTAGCAATTTTGACCAAGTGTGACCACATAAACCAGTTAAAATTTGTAAAATTTTTAGCCTGTGATTCATGTCCAAATTTATATTCCCAGAATTGATGACATCTCAATTTTCAAAGTAATGTTCATATTTTATTGTGGAATGTCACTCAGTGAAACCTGCAATAGAAAAATGACTTATGATTGGTACCAAGCCTTACTTTTCTTGCTATAAAATTTAACCCTCAAACAACTTTGTTAACAAGACTTCTCAATAGTAAAATACGTGATAAGTGAGTTGATAGTAGTCAACTACAAGTAAAATTCTCCAAAAAAGAAAAAGGGGAAAAAAAAGCGAACTCAACAAATAAAGAGGAAAAGTTTTAAAACTGCCTTGGGCAGAGAGGGTGAAATGATGAAGTGCTGTGGGAAGCAAGCATGAGGACAGAGATACACAGAATCGTTGACATCTGTAAGTAGAAGCACTACACTCATTAGCAAGGAAGCCTGGGGACATGGCAGTGGTAACAACCCAGTTACAAAGAAACTTTATAAAAGAAGCCAGGCTTTCAGAATCTGCCAGTAAAGCCTTACTCATTTCAAGCCTGTTAATTTGCACGTTGTGATAATGTTATGGAGGAGGTCAGCGATTTTCTCTTTGAGGTTTATGGAAATCCAAGTGTGCCAAGCAACTTATCAGTATAAAGAGAAATACCATGACAAATAAAGAAGCTTTCCCCAGAGTTTTAAAGGGATTTCAGAAGACTTCTTTATAAGCCAAAAAAAAAAAGAGAGATACAAATTATATATGGTCCTCATTTATTATAACAAAATTATCTGCCCTTTGCCTTTGGCCTACTCTACCCTTGAAATTCTAATACCTCACTTACCTCTAGTCTCTCTTCGATTCAACTTGATATATTTTTATTATTTATTGTATTACATTCCTTGTTTAACCTTGATAAATTTGGGTGGCTTAGGCACTTTGGAGATGAGCACAGTGACATTAAATCCGTTCATTAAATTGTTGGGCAGTTTGTTCAAACTAATTTTAAGGTTTGGATTTTTTTTTCATTTTTTTATTAGGACTTGCAGTCAGTTTCTTCTGGTTCCCAGAGAGTTCATTACCAGGTAACATATAATTGACTCTCCTTCTTTCTTACCTTCCAGCCAAGAGAACTCCATCTTTCCATTTATGTCTCATTTTTATTTAGAGTCTGTATCTTCTCTAGGAATGGCTTTACTCTAAGAACCTAGTAAAGTTGTGAAGTTTTCTGGTGTTTGTCACTGAAAGCACTTCATTTTATAATCCTTTTCAAATGATCTGGGAGAAATAATATTTGTTACTCTTATTCTTTTTCCTTTTCTTGGGCCATCTTAATCTAGCACAAATTTGAACTACAAATTTTCCCTCAGATCATATGAAAAAGTTATTTCAGCGACAAATACCAGAAAGCTCCACTCAAGCTAGCTTAGCAGAGAAATGATTTCTCGGGGCCCATACACAGAAAGTGCAGATCAAGAGTGGATTTCATGTACCATGTAATCATGGTTCATGTTCCATTTTTCTGCTGATCTTTTGGCTTTGTTTCCTTTTTCTGTCAATTTCACCTCTGGACTAGATGTTTTCATGGTCCAAGATGACTTCTCTTCTTATCCAGGAGAGAATTCTCTGTTTTCCATAGTCAGCAAAAGTTTTAACATGCAATCAGATTGGCCCTGGCTGGCCTTTTGGGTGGGGGCTAATAAACCCAGTCTGCCTCTCTCTTTTATCTGACCCACATCAAATCTTTCAGAAAATCCAATTGTCTTTTGCCCAAACCAACTTTGAAATGCAATTTAACCCCAGCTTCCCTGTCCCTCCTGTGCTGGACAGACCCTAAAGCCAGCCTCTTATGCATTAGATTCCTCAGGCACGATCCAGACACAGTGCACAGTGTCACCCCAAAGAGCAAAGGACCTCTACATGCAAGTCCTTTTCTCTGAGTGGCCGCTGATCCTTCCCTTTTAGAAAAGCCGCGTGCCAACAATTTCTACAAAAAAATCTTTCTTGGTCATTTTATACCTTTGTATGGGAGAGCAATTTCCATACAATTACAGGTCACTTACCAACCAGGATGTATTCTGAGATATACATCATTAGGCAATTTAGTTGTGGTGTGAACGTCGTAGAGTGTACTTACACAGACTAAAAGGGCTATGATGTTAGTATCACTAGGAGACACAGTCCTTGGGACCACTCTCTTATACGTTGGCCCTTGTTGATTATCATTATGTGGCATGTGACTGTCTTTATCAATGAACCTTTATGTCCTGGTTTAGCTCCTCACTTTGGGTTTTGGTATCTGTTTTTCTGATACCTGAAATTTCTACTTTATCTTTCTTCTTTAAAAACAGCAACAACAGCAACAGTTTAAAGAAGGGAAATTTTATGTAGCTATCCAGGTAGATTCATTCCCTGCCATTAGACACCCTCTACCCTCATCCAAATTCATTCCTTGCCAATAGACACCCTGTACCCTCATCCACCATAGCTCATTTAAATGGAGGCTCAATGACAGAAATGACCTTGGCCTTCTCACATTTGTGTGTGTTTACTTCTTAAACAGTATATCCCACAGTTCTAGAATGCTTTTTTTTTTCATTTGGATGGTTTTGAAAGAATGCGAAATAACTTAGTGTAATTTTATTTTGATTAAAAAAAACTTCTGGAGAGTTTACTTCATCAACCATTAAAAGGCAAATTTATACCTTATTCTTCAGATAGAACACATCATTCCTTGGATTATTTATTAGTATATTTACCTAGAGCCATTGTGTAGGTGTAATTGCTTTTTAAAAGGCATAATGCTTTTTACGGCTGGAACTGCTATCTAACATGTGGCACTGCCACTTATAAGATTTTATGGTTTTTTTTTTAAAGGTTTGTACTTTCTATTCGTGTACATTTTGAACATTTACAGCTCCACCACAGTATTTTAAGCATTTGCCCTAACTATTTTTGTGATGCTCATACATTCATTTACTGTCTGCTATAATGTTGTTTTGGTGTTTGAATTTTAATCCTGGATGCTTTTACTGTATTTTTATTGCCACGTTCATAAATACCCACTGAGATTGGGAGATGAATGAGACTCTAGAATGTGACACGAACATTTGTTTCATTTATTGTTTGGTAATATAAACATGCAGAAGAATTAATGATATTTTTCTGACTATATCACTATCTTGCTTCATTTTTTTTTTCTTGCAGTCAAGTCAAACCCTAGTGACAAGACTGCTGTGTTGTGAATGTCACATTAAAAAGCTCTGTGCACTAAGCACGAAGGATAACTGAAGTAGTGATCAAGGAGGAGTACCAGAAATGTCACTCTCTCCACCCTCCACACGATGATGAGAGGGGGAAGTAGAGCTCTTGAAAGCAGGACGTTTCTGTATCAAGAGATGCCAAAGCATCAAGAAGCCCAGGATTTGCTCCTTAGACAGGAAGTTTAACCAGAAGAGAGATTATGTTAGAATTAACATGGCCGAAGTTCAGGGACAGCATGTTGAGGAGCTTTCTGAGCGCAACAAAGGAGAGATGGTGGAGGCAAGGAGCTGGGGGAGGGAAGCTTTCACATTTGATTGAGATCCTAAGGGAGGAATGAGTCAGAGAAATGGTGAACAAAGACTTCTGTTCTCAGCCACACTAATTTTGATACACCTTTTAGATCCAAGGGGCTGGTGAGTAGAAAGTTGGATACATGAATATTAAAGCTCCGGGAAAAGATATTAAAGCTCAGGTCCAGAGATAGAAACGTGAGAGTCATGAGCAAATGGATAGTGCTCAGAAGGAAGAGCCTAGAAGCGATGACTTGAGAGAGAGAGTGTAGATGAAGAGGAAGAACAGTGTTATCGTATCTGTACATATTCAGCAGTCATGAAGAGTATAGGTTCAGGAGGTCAAGACCCAAGGAAGGTAAGACAAGCAGTGGCAAAGTCAGAGACCAAAGAGAAGGTGGCATCCTGCCAGCAAGAGTAAAATTCCTGATAAAACAAGGAGCAATATTTGTACCAAATGCTGTGGAGCGGCTGACCTGATGGGAATGTTTTCTAGAATTTTTTTCTAAAGATGCAGATGCAAATACACGGTGCCATTAATTTTTACATAAAGAGTAGTTAGACCAACTGGCAAGAAACTTTACACCATATTTTTTGTTTTTTAATGTAGAACCTGTTAGTGCCAGACTCTAACAGTCTTAGGGTAGGTTAGAGGCAATGTAGAAGAAACACCTTTAAGAAGCAAGGACAAAAATGCCTTTTATGTTTATTAACGAATTTATGCATGAGATAATATTAAAAATTCTTGGAGAATTAACTGTGTAAAGCATGAATAAGTACCAGTATATTTAAAAATCTGAGAAATTCTTGTCAGGTCAGTAATCTGCACCTGGAATTTTAGCGGACTGTTTTCTAAGACTAGGAAAAACTCAAGAGAAAAACAGCAATTATATCGGTATGCACGTGCCCAAGACACCTTATTAGTGGGCAACATGGCAGTCGCTCACCAGTTACACATTTCCTTGTTTTAGTTTTTTTTTTTTTCCAAATTAATAGTGAGCTGCTAACAAAGCACTGAGGCTCAAAGATGACACTTGGGATTAGCCTAATAATGCAGTATGTGTTATAGCAAGAATGTGTAGGGTATTTGAGGCCTGCTGACAGTTTCTTCCTATACCATTTCTTAGGTCAAAATACAAAGGCCCCTCCATCTCAATATCATCTATGCAATCTATAACCAATATAATATCAAGAAAAATATATTGTGTAAAGATTTAGGGTATTCTTGAGGTTGCCAAAAATTGGAATTCATAATAGAATTGATTGCACCTATTTGATAAAAATGCTTCCTGAGACATCTACCATGAGAGAATTCTTACTCCGCTCTCTCTCTAGAAATCATCTATCTTCTTAACCTCAAGACATACATTACTTAGGGAATAGAGACAAATTCAACCATTCCAGTGTGTTTGCTCCCTATAGGGAACGTTTGGCAATGTCTGGAGACACTTCTTGGAATCTGGACCAGATGCCAATGATGCTGCTGTATATCATTCCATGTGTAGGGTGGACCCACAACAAAGAGTTGTTGTTGTCAACCCGAATGTCAATTATATTGCTGGAGAAACACTGAGTCACTCTGATAGTGTTCAATATAAAACTGTACTCCATAGACAAACATAAGCCCCAGATCAGTGATGGCAAACCTTTTATAGATGAGTGCACAAATTGCAAACCCTAACTCACTTATTCATCACAAAGTGTTGACGCTGCAATTAAACCTGAATGCCAAGGTTTTAGTTTGTAAAAAAAACTCATACATGAGTATCTTTTGTCTTAAAAGAAAAACAAATGATACGTGTACCATAGGTTTGTCACCACAGCCCTATAAGAAGAAAATGGAAGAAGAGGGAAGAGGAAGAGTAGTGAAGGAAAACAGAAAGAAGCATCTGTGGTTGTGATAGGGTAGAAAAAGAGAGCCAGGAGCAATTAGTGTTTTGTGGGGGTTTTTTGTAGACACCTTAAGTTTCTCCATTTGTTCATGTCTTAGTCACTTTTCTTGTTGCTGACACACAATACCTGACACTCATAATAAAGTAAAAGTGGTTTATTTTGGCTTATATTTTCCAAAGTTTCAGTCCATGGTTAGAAGTCTCAATTGCAGTAACAGCATGGTAAAAGGACTTGCTGTGGGGGAAAGCTGCCCACTTTGTGGCATCCAGGAAACAAAGAGAGAAGGGAGGGGCCAGGGAGGAAAATATACCCTTCCAGGCCATATCCCTAGTGATCCACCTCCAATCAGCCCCCACCTCTTAACAGTACATTTAGCTCTGAACTCATCCCTGGATCAATCTACTGATGAGTACAGCACCCCCATAATCCAGTGACCTTCCAAAAGCCACACTCTGAACACACAGAAGAAATTCTAGATCTGAACCATAATGGCAAAGATGAAAGAGTGAGTACTCTGTGTTGTATTCCATTAACACTGTTTAGTTCTAGGCAAATAGCATTTTCCTACAAATAGTGGATTTGCTTCTCTTCTCTTGATGCTGTTTGTCCTTATTCATCTCTCTCCTCTTCATTTGCTT